TTACATTCTCCTGAGAATCCTTTCATACACGTGCACTTCAATGTTCCATTAATTTTACGATAGTATGTGTAGGGTCCACATAAAGGAAAGCGAAAAGTGTTTGTCACTATAAATATTAATAAAATGAAAAATAAAATCAAACAGAGATTTTAAACGAAGTATATTCTTCCTCAAAGAACACAATTTCTCACTCAGTATCCACTATGACGTACCTAGCTAGCAAGTTTGCTATGTAATGTTGGTATTTTTGGTGTTCGCAAATATCGTAAAAACAAAACAATTAAATAAACGTTGAAACTTAACAGAGAATGAACAAATTTGCTGGCTGTTCGGGATACTAAAATAGGATGTATCTAAAGAAGTTAGGTAATTGAAAATGTTCAGAAAATAATCAATTCATCAATAGTTCTCGCAAAATGTGTCAAAGCTCATGTATTTTGGCTTTGTCTTGTCTTGTTTATTTAAAAGTGAAAAGAATTAAAATTTAATCTCGAAAACCACGAGAGTACTTCGTAATTGTCTCAATTTGAACTGTATGCACAAAGAAAATGAAAAGTTTCAAATCTAGTTTAATCCAAAGATGTAAAAGTTTGAACTCTGTTTTGCAATGTACTAAAACTTTAGAAAATTTGATAAATATTAAGCTCACTGCAGAACATTCTCAAATTGGATGTTTTTGTCTGTCAACCTATTTTCAGTAATTTTTTCTTATTTATGATTGATTACAAACCAGAATGATTGCTGAAATGATGTAAGAAACAATAAAGACTTAAATTTAGCACCCAAGAAGTTTGGCAAGAATAGACAAACGACAAAAACATCCAAATTAGACACTTTGCACTTTGATCTTAAAGCTTATCAAATTTTTTATAATTTTGGAAGGAAGAACAACCGTTTACTAAGGCAATGTACATTTGAACGTTTTAACGTCTTTCTATTTTATGAACATTAGCGTGGGAGTTTTTGCAAGTCTTAGATTATTACGTCAAATAAGTAAATATTTAACTACCGTTTGAGTCAGGAGTGATACTGTGTATAGCTACAGCCAAATCAAGATAACCGTTGTTTACAGGAAGAAAAAATTTACGTCTCGTACGTTGATCTGTTGTGTTATGGACACTAACGACACTTTGTCCGACACTAGTCATGATATAAATAAAATCCCCAAATACTGCCATGGGACCTCCTGAAGTTCCAAAATCAATTACATTACGGGAGTAGTAATCACAAGAAAAAACATTTCCGTTTGAAACTCGCCAATAAATCTTCTCTTTAGCCATGTCAAGCGTTAGATCATGTGCTATTGACTGAAGTGAAACTGAAAGAATATGATGTTTATTTGCAGTCATGTTCCATAACCATAAGAAAACTTCTGTACTTTCTGCCAGGAATAAATACCTTAATAAAAATATTTGTATTGTACATTAGTTTTCTCTATACGTACTGAGATACATAAACAATAAACAGGCTAATATATGCAAGAAAGGAAAGATAGAATGTTTTTTTTAATCTAGACAAAGATGTTGTCAAAATATTCAGAACTACCTTCATATATAGACGGTTTAATGTAACATATTCATGAAATTTGATAATATAACAACATAAAGCTATCGTAACTAACAAGAAAAGATCATCTTTATCATTTGAAATCTCTATTTTAAAAACCGATTTAAAATATATGAAGTAATTAAACATTGCATGTGATTCAGAGCATAATAAATGTAATATGTTATTTTTATTCACATAACTTATATGATTGGTATTGTCTGAGATTATTGTCGAAATGAGTAATGCTGTAGTTTGGAGTGGCTGCCGAATGAATTGTGTAGGTAATTGATAATACTGAAAATTAGCTGATGCGTGGAAATTTTGTTCGAATTGAAAATTCCACGTAGATATAAAGTTAAGAAAGCTTTGTCATTTCAATTTCAAGCTTTCTTAATTTTTCAGTTTCATCTTGCATGAAAAGTAGCAGCTCCTTGGATGGATCATCGTCTACAAATGTCTTTAAAAGAGCTATAGCTTCACAAACATTGTCTTTTGTTGATACTTTTTTCCAATTTGTTTGGACAAACGATATTTTACAACTATCTTAACCTTCTCTTTTTAATTGTCAAATTTTTTCATTGTTTTTCTAAAAATCAGAAAAAGATTGACACTGGAGCTAGCGCTATTGGTATCATTTGAAAATGTTGATTCTATCGCCATGTCATGTTCGTATTTTTAAGAATCTCTTGATTAGACAAGCTGCAAAAACTACTTGAATACTATGGCCTTTACTTTATCGAAAATGTTTGATGCAACTGGCAGTTTTGATTATCATCGCATCATATTTGCATTCTCCAATACATTTCTAAATTATATTATGCATTTGAGTAACAATAAAGTCCATGTTTTCTTGTCGTTCATTTTACCTTTCCCCGAACTCTTTAAAAACTTTCTCGTAAATACTATCGTTCTTTTGGTTTTTGTGTTTATGAAAATTAATTTTTTCTTGTAATATGATAAAAATTAATGCCCAAATAAAGTTTTAATTAGAGCCATAGAAAATGACCAAAATTTGTAAAATGGAATTCATACTGACATTTTTCCTTAGTCAAGACATATTCAGGCAAATTATAGTCTATAATGAGGTGTTAAGACAAGATATTGTATTTACAAAAGGAGTTAAAATACGACTTAAGAGGCGGTGTCAAATGGAATATTTGATAAAGAAGTTGGGAAGTAAAATATACTGAAGCTTAGAGAGGTTAAGTGGAATGGAACTTTCTTGAACGATGAGTGAAGACTTGTATTTATTGATAAGAAAGCTCTCATGAATGGAGAGTTCATAGGATTAGTTAGAAGAGGAATTTTTTTTAAATTCGTAAAATATTTATAACATATTCAGAAAGTCCTCGCTTCACAGGCTTTTCAGTCAATTTCTTTTTAATCCCTAACTTGGTTGTTATCTTCAGATTCATCATCAGTTCAGCAACTACAGATCTAAAGTTTGCCTAAATTACACTAACAACCACTGCATGAACTAAAGGTAGTGTAACGATTTTCAATTCTGGTGATTTGATTGGATGTGTGATTGGATTTATTGAAGGGTGGTGTGCAGACACTTAATTTGCAGCTCTTGACTTTTCAATTAACTCCGCCGTTCAATGCAATTTAAAAGAAGGCTTGAAAAACTTGATAGATTGATTTTTTTTTAAATTGCCACATTTTTTGAAAACTAAAATGCTTTTTTATATTTTTGATGTAACTACGTGGGAATGTGTGCAGTTTTTTTATCTTCAATAAAAAACGAAAGGTTGAAGTTTTTACGTTCACCACCTTCGTGAATTTTTTAAAACTTTATTGCCATTTCGTATTGAGATTGTTGCACATCTCTTACACTGCCTCAAAAAGGGTTAAAGTTTATGAAAGGGCACAGCAAAGCAACAAACAATGCTCCCAATCTGTTGAAATATTTTGTGTAGGGCATATCTTATTAAGCATAGGATTACCATGGAGGCGTCAAGCAAATTGCACTTTCTAACAAAGAAAAGCGCTCTTAGGTGGCCAGCTGAACCCAGTAATCTTATTAAATATACAACACCAAGTTGCACAGTGAAATTGGACTACTTTTTGTTTGTAGGTTGTGGCAAACCAGTGTTCTGTTAGTATTTGACTAAAGTTTCATCGGTAAAGTAATCATTTAATATTTTATTGCAGTTTCTATCTCTCTGTTTTATTTCATTTAACGACTTCATCAATTATAAACATTGTTTTCTCCGTTGTTACATTTTTGTCAAAGCTCTTTGGTTGCTCAACATAAGTATCGCTGTCGATTTTTGCAATTTCAGGATCTGCTTGTTCTTTCTACTGCGTGTGTGTTGAATAATCACACGAACTGAGCTTATCCTTGCAGTTGATTTGAAATGCCTCATAATCACGCAATAAAATTTTGCTCGCCAAATCTCCTTGATTTTATTGAAAAGCTGTCGTTTGTTTCTATATACACAAAAAATACCTAATATTTGCTCCCTCGGAAAAAAGGGAGTTTTGTTTTCCCTCGAAAATCAATATTTTTTCAATTCTTGTACTTTTAAATAACAGGCCATAATACGGACTTCAAAAATTCAACTTTTCTATTAAATTAAAATGCCGTCTCTAATAATGAAACTCTTAGCTTACTAAAAAAACCCTCCAAGAGACTGACATAGTTTCTTAATTTTAAGTTTACAAGTTAATAAAAATAATTTCAATATAGCCTTACCCATGTTTTGAGTCAAATGCAATGCTCGAAAATTGTAAGCCTGGTTGAAGCCTCATAACACTTGTAATTTCCTTTTGCAAACACATTTGGTAGATAATGTTCGTGGAGTCAATGTAAAAGATACGACGACTAATCCAGTCAACTGTAATGTCACGAACAGAAATATTTTTCGCAAAAATTTCGTTTCTAGTCAAGTCAAAATTTCCCCGTTTGATGTCTTTGTCATCAATGTAGTAAAGCACATTCTCAACTACATCAATTTCGATGTCATTATATCTTGATGCATTGTCAAATTTATTCTTACTGGATCCATTAATAGCGCTGACATGAATATCTCCAGTAAGAGAATCAACAGAGTATACTTTATCAAAGCTCAAAATAATGAAATATGGCTTTGGATAAACATCTAAATATACAATAAAAAAACTATAAATAACAACGACGAGTGGATTAAAAATAAACAACTTTTATAGACCTTAAAATAATAATATTTGGTGAAAGACCACAATAAGTGTTTTAGAAAGAGTTTTTCACTGTAGAAATATTACTAATAACTGAAATTAGATTGGCTGCATAACTTCTACCTATTATTGTTGCATATTATTTTTAATGCTATGAACAAGATACTATGAAAATTTAACAAATCTAAAGATTATACCTTTGTAAAAACACATTTCTGTTTGCATTTGCATCATTTCTTTGTTGTATTGTTTTACTTCCTTGCATGCAGTTGTGTTATCGTCATTGCCATTTTTATCAACGCAAGTTTCCATCCATTCTTTTACGTTGTCTTTTAATGTCTCTAAGCTTTTCTTGCAGATTGATATGTCGTCATTACCATTTACTATTTGGCCACGAATAGACAGGATTATAAGAGTCCCAAGAAACGCTTTTGTTGAGCTTGATATCATCTTTATTTTCTATTTGTTAGAAGATGGACGATTATTAATTTCTTTAAAGCTTTCGTAGTAAAAAATTTACTTTTTTTATGAATGGTTTATAATCAATATAATCACATAATCAGTTTGTTTTTAACTTTTTTAGGGATGTATAAATCAAATATTGATTTCTATAATTATGTGACATTTTAACTTCCTTCTCCAAAACGTATTTTCACGTTTGCTTTCAGAAAATTGATGATGATTTAATATTGTTGCAATAGATTAGGCAAATTGTTCATTATAACGACTCATGCTTACAACAATTTATATAAGTAGAGTTCACCTGCGTAGAACGTGTTTTTTAGAAATAGATATAAGGTTTCTAGGAAACGAAAGCATAGAAAGAAATAATACATTTCAATGTCCACTATAAGGAAATGACGCAAATTATGAAATACACCAAGAGCAGTTTGCAAAAAATTTAAAATGGGTTGATTTCAAATTTGCTTATGTTAACTCAGTTTACCAGATGAATGGGAAAAACGTATTGCTTAACTAAGCCAGCAAAATTAAATGCAAAATAATCTGTTGCTTCGTGTTTAACAGACTCCCTGGCCTCTCTGTAACTACATGCCGTCTAGTTACAGAAAGGGAGGCCCTTTAAGCAATACATGACATTCTGCTTTACAACATCTGAAAGTCGTATAGAGAAGTTCGACTCTCATAACTATATAAGTTCTGAATTGAATGAAATTTATGAGCATTTTAACAGAGCTGTTAAAGTAAAAAAAAATATAAAAAACTAAATTAAGGAATTCTAATTTGTAGTACTAGAAGTTTTTATTTCTTTAGATATTTTGATTCAGACAAATAAAAGGCACTTGCCATCTGTCAAGGATATTCTTGAATTATGGAATAAATGTAGCTGAAGAAACAAGAGACAAGAAATGTATCATTTGTTTGGCGTGCATTTCTTGCTTTTTTAAATGACTTCTGTATTGATTCTTAGTGAGGATTTGCCCCATTTCAATTTGTTGATTTATGTACCTCTCTTTCTTTATCATTTCCCTCAATCATTAATTTTCATTTTAATGTCCAATCAAATATTATTTATCACACATGCATTTAAGTTTTAGTTTACTATCATTCTCATGTAAAAACGCAAAACTCTTTTCAAACGTTTTATATTTTTTAAATGTCTATGATAGTTGGAAAACATTTTTTTGTTATCTGTATTCAGAACAAAACTACTTAACGATGGTTGCTTCAAATATTTTTGATGTAGCTACGATTTCCTCTGGCGTATCAATGGAAATATGATATAATCCATTTCCAGACATTCCTAAATATCAATTAGTAGAACTTTACCATTGGTTGTGATCAATCAATTAGTTTTTGTTTTCATCATAAAAATAAATATGATGTGATAAAAAGATTTGCGAACTGGTAAAATTTTTCATAGAGTTATACACTAGTCAATTTACCAGATGGCAGCTATGTATATATGATGCATAGCTGCGCTGTTATAAATTACAGAAAATGTTTAAAAAAACATACAAATTGTTTTATAATGCTTTAGGTATTTTATTAGATAAAGATTGTGTTAGATTATCTGTTGGATTACGTATAAGCATGACTATGATAAATGAAATGTGTGGTCTTGATAAGAAAGTTAAATCCATAAGAGTTATTGTTCTTGCATTATGTGATAGGCTCTAAATTTTAGGTTTTCTATATGTTTTCGTTCCTTACCGTTGAAGAGGCAGTCTGGCTATCAATGAAATTTCTCCTTTGATTTCTGGCGAGTTTTTTTCAATCCTTCTCAAACAGCAGCTTAGACAAAATATAACTGAAGCAGAAGTTGTCTTCTCTTAAAGTGCTAGTAATATTGGCTTTTTGAATTTTGACATCAACACACGACGAGTACTTTTCTGTGGGCGGGGACACAAATTTTCATGATTTTTCATTATATTTGGGATAAAGAGCCATAATTGCAGAAATTTAGTGTCACTCACAATATGCAACAAAAAATTGTTTTAACAATTACAAGAAATACCATTTACATTGAAAATAAGAGAGCAAATTATTTTAATTCCTTATAACAACTCCCCGGAAAAAGATATGTTTACTTTGACGTTATTCAAATTGGTCAACTATTTCAAGTGTCTCTATAAGCTAAAAAAAAATGTGCACTGCAGATGTTACTTTCCGTTCATAGATAAGATACTACAAAGCAAAATGGAGTATTGTCTATAAGCAATTTTTGTTCAATTTTTCTAGTTCATTTTAATATGGTTCACCCCATTTTTACTTAACATAACATGAACTTTCTAAAGTACATCAAATTCAAACAAGGCCAGTTTCTAAGGTAATTATCTTTATTTATCCCATTTCACATGATTTCAATTTCTTATTTTCGTCTTTAATAAATTGAGCTCATTTCAGCGTATTCACTCTCTTTCCTCTCTCAAAAATGAAGAAAATAAGGACAAAGAAGACATATAAATGGTTGCAACCCCCTTCCCCCCCCCCTAAACATTTTCCGAGCAAAATTTACATTTTACATGATATACATTATATTCTGTAAACAACATATGTCAGTCGTAGAGAGAAATTTGAATCGTATAATTATATAAGTTCTGAATTGAATAAAATTTATGAGCATTTTGACAGAACTATCAATATAAAAAGTCTAAAGAACTAAACAGAGGAATGCAGCTTCGCAGTAATGAAAAGTTTTTACTTCTTTAAATATTTTGTTTCAGACAATTAAAAGGCATTTGCCATCTGTCCAAAAATATTCTTGCAATATTGAATGATCGTAACAGAGCAAACAAAAGACGAGAAATGTATCATTTGCTCTGCATATATTTCTTGCTCTTTAGAATGAGTTCTGTATTGATGTTTGATGATGATTTGCCATATTTCAATTTGTTCATTTATGTACCTCTCTTTATCATTTCCCTCAATCCTAAAGTTTTGGTTTGCAACATTTTTCTTCCTCAATATTGTGTCAGTTTTGGCCTCTGGTACGAAAGAGTCCATTTAAAAAACAACCATAAGTGCAAACACCCCAAATGTCATTTCTAAAATACAATATTAAAATCAAAAGAAAATAGCAATTCATCCATTTGTTCAAATATTATATAAATATTCTATAACGACATAGAACATACTATATCTGACTGCGTCTTTGATATTTGAAACTTTACGGTCTAACGAATTGGTTGAAATACATAAAAAATACATCTGTCACGCTTTTTAGTTCATAAGTAGCTACAGAACCCAAAAAATAAGTAAACTATTTTTGCTATGTGGGGAAGGCTTTCTTTTCTTCATCAAATTCTGACTAATTATCAAATATTTGATCACAATAATGGCATAACAATGTTTAGAAAAGACATTGTATAAACTTACGAAATTTTATAAATGGCAAAATTAGATATAGTAGTTTTTTGCTTAACATTTTTAATTACTTCTCAAACCCTCCTCAAAGTGCTAATTGATTCATTCTATCCAAATATACTCACTTAGTTAAAGAGGTTTGCCAGCTGGCATTTTGACATGTGCTACTTTGCCCTTTATGTATATTATTTGACGAACAACACTTAGCTTGTTGGAGATTGTGAATGCCTTCACGATTTGTACTGTTGAACTGACGGCGCCGAAAACCAGTTATAAATTTGTTTTTCGACCCACAATTGACCATCCTTTTTCGTTAAATGATTTCTGCCAACCTGCGTTTATGCCAGACTGTGGTTTACCAACGTCTAAAATGAAAAGTTCTTTAATCAAATAAACTGATGTTTTATTCACGTATACTTTCTTTGACTTTGTTGTAAAGAAAACAATCATCTTCTCCTCATATCTTCCTTATTAATATGCATGCACTTAAAGCTAATTTTTTAATGAAAATCGTGCTTTTTTCAAAATAAAAGTACAACAATGAGAGCACGCTCAATAAGGGAATTTTTAAATTTGCTTTCATACATGACAATCTTTAAGAAAGTCAAAACCATCCCCCGATATTTCTACAAAAATATTTTAGAAAATTTTCTGTAAGAACTTGGAGTCTCGCTGATTTTATTACATCAAATCCTGGCAAAGTAAATATTTTGCATGGAACTTATTTTTTTTCTAAATTATTAGCTAATGTGCACATAGAAAAGGAAAAGACCACCAAAACAGTATAGTTATAGACTTTCTGTGGACTTTTATAACTCAATTAATAATAGTCCAGGGGCCGATTGTATAAAAACGTAATTAACTTTAACTATAGTTAACGGTAACTACCGTAGTTAAGTCCTCAACTGTAGTTACTTAGCTGCTTTACTTAACTGCGTTGCACAAAACGTAGTTTCTCCGATAGTTAAATAACTGCGTAGTTAACTTGCGTGGAAATTGCGTAGAGTGTTGTTTTTGTTAAATGACATAACGTTTAATCAATTTATTCTTTGTAATGGCGGCAAGTGAACTATAAAATGACTTTAAAATCAAGAAAAATCTCTTGGCTTTTATAAAAATTTAAAAATATGGCAAACTATTGGCGCTTTTACGGATGTTGATGATGCAAAAAGAAAATTTATTAAACGTGATTCGTTCATCATAGTTAGTAGCCATGTAATCCAGCAATTATCTTTCTCTGCTTGTGTGACATGTTATATTCACAGCTATACACAAAATACTTATTTTTTCTTAACTGTGCCTTGCAAAAAAAAAGAGTTAAAAAAGCTATTGGGTATATTTGTTAATGAGCCTTAGCTATGAAACTTTTATTTATGCCTTTGTGATTTATTAACCTATTTTGTCTAAAGCTTGGAGTTTTATTCATTTTTTTCTACTTTTTAAATCATCAAACAGTAGCTAGAGCTTTCTGCTTGTTAGAAAATGATTGGCAGGCACGATTGCATGTACATTAAAAATAAACATTTTTACACAGGAAATTATTGATGAAATATCAATAAAACCCACTAATTGTCTGTAATGTATATTTTCTGCTTGTGTAATAAACCATGTGCGATGTATAATGCATATATATCAAGCAACGTGGACCTTCACCATGCATGCTGATGAAATGTTTTATGTATTTCAATAGCTAACATCATTGTATCTCATGGAGCTGATACACAAAAGAGTAGTCATGAATAAAAACTGTTGTAAAGCTCATGTATCTATATGTATTATCATTGTCATATTTAGCACAACATTCACACTGTAGTACCTTTTTCTTTTAACATAATCTAGCTTATTTTCCATATAGTAACGAATTTATATGATGCATAGGATATTCAAATTAAGCAAAATGCATAGGGAAAAACCCGCAATTTCAATATTTGATAAATCCAAGGCTATAGAATTCATTGCTCGATAAGCATTCTTTCTTTTTTTTGTCATTGAAAGAAATGTACGTGTTTGTAAGACAAGGTCAGCAAGTTATGTGCATTAATTTTAAAGAAGTGACTCTATCTCAATTGAGAGTTAAATGTTATTATTATATGGCTAGCTTAACTTCCGGCAAAATGATGCTGTTTGATTACTCAGAAACATTTTTGCCGGTCCATTATTTTCCCGTAATCGACCACAGTCAAAACGCGTAATTTTACAGTAAATGTACACAAACTTTCTAAAAGCAAAACACAAAATAAACGAAACAAAAAAGCATTTACGAATGTGATTCGAAGGAAAAACGTTTGGAAAAAAGTTTAACTATCCAGACGATAAAATTTGAAACGATTTAATTTTTCATGGACGAAAACTATAAAAGTTAAAGCCAACCCGTAAAAAACAGCAAGGGTGAAAAAGAAAGCCAGCTTTGTTTCAGATCAAATAATGCCATATAATAATCCTTCTAAAAAACTCGTTTCTCGGTCTTTACTGAGAAATATCGGGCGGAGGTGTTTTTGTACAGACCTCGCTCCATACGCACATTGCAGAATAATAAATGTCCCTTATGTATTTTTATAAAAAGATTTCATGCGTTTAGAATTTTAAATTTTTTAAAAAATTTTTAGGACGAATTGCAAATTATCGCTCTGTTTATTATTTATCCTTAATTATATCAATACTTATAATTCCTCTTCGAATGCATCTGTCATTCATAAAACTCTACAGTTAGCTAGTTTTAAGGGATGAAAATTATCACAATTTGTAGTGATTACGAGCCATGTCAGTGTGGTGAATGGATTTTGGATTACTGTTATCCCTATTTCAAGGTTAATTTAAAATCAAGCTATACTAGGTTATTGTATATAACATAATCATAATAATAGTTAAAATATAATAATAATAATCCTAACTAACTTCATATCTTAGAAGCGCTTTGGATAAAACGCAACCTCCCACAACTTAATAGTGGTCTCAAAGCCTGTAAGAAATTATCTCTATTTTAAATGAAAGTATACTCCATAATTTTTTAGTCTCGTAGCTCTCTCAATTACGTATAACTTTCGCTTCCGCTTGTAAATATTTATATAAAAGTTTCGCAGCTTGCTTTGTAAACTTTTAATATGACGATGTCTTTTGAATAAAGAACGAGATATTACACAATCTGTTGTCTAAGAATCTTGTATTATATTGAATATTAAGAAAACGAGATGTCTGTTTTCGGAAACTGTTTTATTTTGCTTTATTTAAAATTGTTTGCTTGTCCTGGTTATAGGTTAACTCAAAATAAAGCTATAATAATTTATTATATATATAAAAGAGCCTATAAAGAAAGCTCTTTTGTAAGTTGTCCATTCTTTTTGGTTGAAGACTTTATCATAATAATTACTATACTTGTTGGGTTGATGGAATGATTTCTATCATATTTCTTCAGGAATGTTGTGTAATATGTGTCCTTTGGTACGATAGAGACCATTTAAAAAATATCCACCTGTGAAACACTCAAGGTGTCTTATCTAAATTATAATATTATTATATGGTAAAGCAATTTATCAGCCTTTTCTTTTTAATATTATTTAAGAGTCTGATATAGACATAAAACGACTAACTGAGTTTGAATTATAACGTCTAAACTAATTCTAATTCAAAATATAATACTGTTTCTTGGTATATTTGAAAAAATTCTGTTTAACAACTTAAATTACATAAACATTATATTTTTCAGATAAAAGGTACAAATCTAAATTATTGACACGACAATTCCTTTTTAATTTTAAGCTATTCTCAAATTTTTTATTCGTTGACTTGTTTCAAAGGGTACTCAATTGTCTAGAGTTTTCCACCAGCTGGTATTTTCATATGTGATTCGTTCTCCTTTATATACTTTATATGACGAGCAGCAATTTAGCTATCTCAATTTTATAAATTCTATCACACTTTGAAATAGTCATTTGGTTGTGCCAGGAACCATTTATAAATGTGTAACTGGATTCACAAGTTGACCATCCTTGTTTGTTAAATGAACGCCATCAAGATTCTTTTTGCATTATTCTATGATTACCTGTTGACGGTTTGTCCCAGATTCTACTTCAGATGCCTACAGAAAGCATGAAGCAGAAAGAATACACAAGTCGACTGATGGTACCTAGTCGACTGATGGTACGTATGAAGTTAGTTGTTAATTAGTTGTAAGTTCTGAAAATATCATGCTTTTTAGTATTCTGTAATTCTTATTTTGTCGTTATGTCGCAGTGATATTGTACACGATAATTGTTTATAAATGAAAATTCTATTTCTCGTTTCAGAGCGATTATAGAACACCCATATATTTTTAAATGCAACCATACTAATTTGAGGAAACCGCATACATAGTATAACAATACTAAAGCTAACTAAAATATCATTTACAGTCTAAATTATTTTTATTAATATCATATAGTGTCAATGTAAAGAACGAAGTGTAAAGAATGCGACATATTTTAGGAGTGGATGGTCAATGGAAGGGTATTCTTTAATCTAGCCTTTCATTTTAATGAGACATTATATTGGGTTTTTATTATTGAATTAGAGTATAACAGTGAAAAATGAAAGTTTTGAGTGGACACAACCTTGCATCATAGTTGATAAAAAGGAACAATTATTCAAAGAAAATATAACAATGAGTTACAAATTTTACCCTGTAATGTATGTATATATCGCAAACTGTTTCAATGGAGTATTTGCCGGTTGCCAGTCTCCCTTAAATTTGCGCGGTTTTTGCAATGCATTTTGGGATCGCCAGGGGGTAAACATTTCTTTAGAAATTTATCTGTAATAGTGATATTTTTGAGAATTCTTAATTTAAAGCACCTATTTCCATTATAATGGCTATTCGTTGTAATGGGTATTCGTCACCAGTTGGGAGAAAAGAAGTAAAAGTATGTGGAGACGGCAATTGCTTTTATCGAGCAGTTGCGTTGGCTATAAACGGTGAAAGCGACGAAAACTTTGCTCACATTCGAGAAATGTGTAACGAAGTTTTAATACAAAATTCGGCTACTCTTTGACCGTATTTATTTCGATACGAATCGATAGAAAAGCATCTGGAAAAGCAACTGTTGCTAATTTTTTGGAAGAAAAGAACAATTTGATAAACTCAAATGCTATGCAATATGGACTAGACAAAGAAAAAGAGGCTCTGTATCTTTACAGGAGACTGCGTACAAAGAAGCATGAAAAAGTTAAAATAGAAGAACCTGGGTTGCTTGTTGACCCCAAAAATTTATGGATGGGAGTGAGTTTGGAAGGAATTTGCCATTGTGAATGTTGTGGCTCAAGGACACTTGAAATTAAGTGCCCTCTAACATGCAAGAATATGGATCCCAAATCGGCATTTTTCTCAACAGCTATTGGTGGGAAAACTAATGATAGTGGCAAGAAAGTGTTGAACAGGAACCATTTACATTACTTTCAAGTCCAAATGGGTATGGCTATAAGTCAAATCGACAAATGTGATTTTATTGTATTTACAGAAAAAGGAATTGATATTGTAGAAATACCATTTGATGCTGACTTCAGGAGTGATGTATTTAAAACTGTGTTTCTTTTCTATAAGAATTATATTATTAGTAGTCTTTTATTGAAATATGTGCAATGATAAAATTTTATATTTACAAATAATAGTTTTTCAAAATAAAAATATTAAGTATAATTTATTTTGGATTATGTAAGGATTACTTTATACCACGCTTTCCTAAATTACATAAAGCGGCACACATAAACAAAATGTTGTCCAAAACTGGTTTTAATGTCAATGGAATAACTCCTGATAAAATCAGAAATTGATTTAGTTTCAATATATTCCTTTCGACATGAGATCTTAATGATGCCACACGCCGAGTATGAGTTGTTCCACGAGAGGAAAGTCTTGGTCCACGACAATAGGCAGGAGAAATAAGGTGAACTTTCTTCACCACAAGTAGATCTCTAACACGGAATCCCTTATCAGCCATGACACCATCACCTTTTTCTAGCAAGTTTATGAGACCAGAGTTGGTGACCATTTCCTTGTCAGATATTGAACCAGTCCAAAGGGGTGGGATGAAGGAAAAAATACCATTAGGGGTAATGCCAACTAATAGTTTAGCAGTGTTCCAATGCTTATAGCTGCTCCATGAGATTTTCTGGCTCCCAGGTATCTTAGGTTTTTGTATAAAAAAGTCCTTGCAATCAATGATTATTCTTAAGTTTTTAAATTTCTGAAATCGCTTAGGTAGTTTCTCTTTGATTTCAGACTTACTTGGCCAAGGCACAACGAATGACAGCTCGTTAGACAGGAATTTAACCCAAGTTGTATAAATCCGGGAAACATGACTAGCTGAAACAAAAAATTGAATCAGCCAAAAACATGACATCAAATCCTTTTCGTGTCCTGACAAGAGTAAGAATGAATTCTTCCCAATGTGTCAATACTCTTGAGACATGCCCTCTTTTAATAGACTGGGCAGTGGCTGTATCAGTAGAACCTCTCCAATACATTAGACTCTTTGCTTTCTCTTCAATCAAACTGAAAACTAAGTTCAACTTTTCTAGTAACAATCCAGTGTAGCGGTAGCAATTCTTCTGGCAAATAGCTTGTTCAATAAATAAGTTTCTTTTCAACGTCTTAACGTCGCCCTGGCAAAAACAGTCAATGAGGTCATGTTTTTCACTTTAGTCAGAATCATAACTTGTAACATCCAAGTATGTTGTACAATTTATTTGTGGACTGTCTTCGTGCACAGACTCTGGCTCAGTACACTGCTCAGGAGCAGTAATTTTAGCAGCGAAAAATACCTTATCCTGATGCTCAAAGCTTTTCTCAGCACTGCCTTCACACAGAATTTTTCGTCTCTTTCTTTTTGGAATATTTGATTTGCTTCTATCTTTCAGCAGTAATCGTTTACTGCTTTCTTTTGATTGGTATCCTTTTAGATACAAAGTTGGATTGGGACAGCCCTCGGATCGATAACCATCAAGAAAATGATTAGAAAAAACCTTCGTATTAGTAGTGACTTTGAAGATTTTCCTGTTGATCAGCTTTTGATCAGCTTTTCCTGTTGAGCACTCTTGTCTTTCGCGTTTTTCGGAGAAAAAAAGCGAAGAATACCAACGTGATCGGAAACGATATATTTTTCAGGATATCTTCTATCGTTATCACAGCCATAAACAGCACAGTGATCCCCTTTTCCCATTATAATTGAATATAAACTCTTTACGAAAAGATATTTTTATAAAGATACACAATGTTTGCCCCCTGGCGATCCCAGAATGCATTGCAAGAACCGCGCAAATTTAAGGGAGACTGGCAACCGGCAAATACTCCATTGCAACATAATATAGCAAATGTTTAATTGATACGTAATAGGATAAGTCTTCACACATACATATAAAAGTCCATCAAATTTTGAACATGCTTGTATTTAACTATTTAATGTTTCACTAAATCTGTAAATGGCAACATATTTATGAAAAGTCGTTATTTCAAATATAAGTGAGAAGCTAAACAAAAAATAAAGCAAAAGATGTTGAAATTATAATTATGCACACTTATCAAATATTTAGATATGGGGTATAAAATGATTGTGAGTAATATTAATTTGGTACTGAATTAAACTGTTGTCTATAGCCAATACATTGTAAGGACACAGCCTGTGTAGGCAGTTAAGAAATATTTTGTTGTTAGGTGTCTGTATGAGTGAAAGTTGAAATCTGTTCTTATTACCATACGCTAATTCAAGAAGCTATGCTATATGACCATGAATCTTTTTTCTTTGTTTCGCATGACACCTTCCAAGTTTGAAGAAGACACCTTCCAAGTTTGGCATGCAAGAAGAGAAGCTATTGAACCTGCAGGAAGGCTTTGCGTCACTTTAAAATGTTTGGTCATTGGAGACGCCTTAGAAGTATTGCAGCAAGTTACCTTGTAAGCCGTACCGTTGTGGGACGAATTATGAGGGAGACTTTTAAAGCTTGGTGGATTGTTATCGCAGAAATGTTTTTTTTTTATATGTTCCAAGTTTGTCGAAAGAATGGCTAGATAAAAGTCAAGACTTTGAGAGAAGGTGGAAATTCCCGAACTGCGTCGGACTGATTGGCGTAAGCATATCATTATCCAGTGTCTTTCACGAGCAGGATCTATGTTTTTTAACTATAAGAAGTTCCGCAGTGATGTCCTGATGGCAGTTTTGAATGCAAAATATCAATTTACAATGGTTGATGTAGGCGACTACGGACATCTAAGTGACGGTAGCGTTTTTTCAAGTAGCGAATTTGGTGTTGCTATGGAACAGAACAAACTAAAACTTCCACACCCAAAACTGCTACCTTGGACAAATATTAGTGTACCATATGTGTTTGTAGGAGACTATGCTTTCCCTTTTAAAAATTTCTTTCATGAAACCCAATCCTAGAGGAGAGATCCAGATCCCTGACAGAATTGCAAATTACAGGTTCTCCCGTGCAAGAAGTTTGTAGAAAATGCCTTTAACACTGCCACCTCACGATTCAGACTCTCCAGACGTGCAATTATAGCAGATATTGACGTTGCAGTGCAAGCTACAAAAGAAATTGTGGTTCTTCATAACTACCTTATGGCTGACAGGTGTATTCCAAGTAATCCATATTGTCCATCTGACTTTATTGCCTATGACTGCAATGGTTCACTTAGACTGGTGGGTGGAGAAAGGAGAATGCAATAATGGCGGAATTGAGGATATAACACATCTTGGATCCAATTCTATTAAATGCAATCATAAAATATCAGAGATTGTTTTAGAGATTATTTCATTTCAACAATAGGTTCTGTGAATTTTGAATTATGTTGTACATATAGTCGCTAATGATAAAAATGAAAGATGTGGTAGTTGCTACTTTAGACAGTTAAGTGTAATAATTTGGAAAGATTCATGAAATGGCATTAACTGTCAATTTGAGACTGGGTGTTCAAGCATGCGATATTCATGTAGAAAATTTAACCTAGTCTGCGCGCATTTTTGCTCTGATATTAACTGCGAAAATACATCAGGTAAAAACAGAGTAAGAAAACGAAACAGATGTTTCCCGAGCTGAGAATCGCATTGTTAAATAAGCCACCTTGTACATTTGTATGGTAGAGTGTAGACATGAAATCTACAAAGTGCTGAAGATCACTGCAAAAGCTCACGCCTACGCTATTGAGTTTTATAAAATCTGGAGGGAACATGTAAACCAAACTACTATAAATTATTAGCGCGCGTCCTATGGTCAAAGATATGGCAGAATTTGATTGTCTAAGTGAGCGGAATGACGCGGAATCTTGCAAACTTGGGTGTTATGCGGAGGCATAAGTACTGCCACAAAAAGAAACATTTCATGACATTGATAAGCAACGTAGTATTGCTTATCATTTAAAGTGTTCTTATTTTCTTTTTAAGTAAATATTTGAGTTGTGATGGTATATATTTTTAGAATGTTTTAACTACTAAGTTGTAATTTAGGTTATGTTTATCCAGTCCTATTTGTTCTTTGCTTAACCACTTGCTAGATAAGGGGAAAGCAACCAATTCTTATCAAGATTTGCATATCTCAAAACTCCTGGTTTGAATTGAGTTCACCTCCAAGAAATGGAAGATTTTTCAGAATTTTTTCTACAAATATGAAGGAAAATGGAAATAGTGCAGAGTTGAAAAACAGTGCAACATTAATTAATAACTCTTTGGAACATGTCGTGAGATAAAAAATAAATACCTTTATTAAACAATTGGCTGCATAATTTGACAGATTATGAACAATCACGACGATGGTGTTTCAATGTTTGCTTTAGCTAACAGTTTTATAAAAGCCATCTAGTTTTTCTCTAAATGAACAATTTATATAATTTTTATATAGTAAAAAGCTTAACCCATAAAAACTACTTTGAACAATATTGTGCTAAGATTTGCTCCTATACCTTGAAATTTTTATTAGGAAAAACTTAAGACAATATGCATGAAAAAATGAACTCTCCCTCATCTGACAAAGTCCATTCTTGTTCAATTCCAGATGATCCAAACTTCACATAGGATGCACTGGTTGCAATGAAGTTGTATGTAGAAGCAACTATAGATGGCAAAGAACTCTTTTGTATCTTATAAAGAAATAGTAAAAATTTAAAAGTATAAAGATAAACAATCTAGTATAGGAGGAAAGGTCTGAATTTAACAAGGAACTTTCTAATTACGTTGAGTTTCTGGTATAAAGAAAGTACTATTTTTGATAAACTTCATTTGGAAGTTTTTCACAGATATTTTACCAAGAAACAAAGAAAAAATTCAAAGGCATGATGCAGAACTCAAATATGTGTCAATTTTGTTTGAAACTAGAAAAAATTAGTGTGGGGAGCTGTAATTTATAAAGGCACAAGGGAAGAGTAGTGCAAGAAATTTTGCATTTTTAGAAAATAATACATTCTTCCCTGATATATATAATATATACAGTTGGAAAGTATTGTAGTTCTGTTCAGTAGTAGATCCAAGATTAAACCAAATAATTCACAATCAACTCAGTTTCTAATATTTTGCCTGTAATCAGAAAGTTTCAACCAGCCAAATGATCATAGCGTTTTGATTTTTTTTTGCTCTTCTAGTTAAAGATATTTTCCTTGTAAGTTCTCAGTACATTTATAAAAATATCTTTTCGTTATAACTTATAAGACACCCAGAATCAACCACACCAAAAGTAACTCGAAAAAATATATATGTTTTTACGTAATAATGACATATTTCCAGTTCACTAAAATCGTAGGGAAATGCAAACTTCTCACTTCTGTTTTGGACATTTTAACCAAGGTTTAACAATCTATTCAAAAAAGGTTGTCGTTTTTTTACGCAGTAATAGAAATCCAGATTAATAAGGGAGCGAATATTTCTCAAAGTTGAAGTTTTTTAACTAAAATCCGCCATTACCACTATGTTTTTGACAACCGGGTCCGGGCTTCTTGTTGCTATCAGGTCTTATTGAACTCAATGAGTGTAACAGAGAAATTGCGCAACCAAAAAGAAAACTAAGTGAGTATGAGTGAGCTTTTGGAATACAGGCGCTAAATTGCAACAGATGTGGTCAGACTAGCCATATAATAACCGCAGTATATCCTGCAGGCTCTGTAGTTTTTGAGTCCTTTACGTACTCTTAATTAAAAATTAAACAGCAAACGAACTAGCTGACATAGGTGTCATGCCTGAAACGGCAAAGCCCTTAAAACCTGTGGCCCTCGAATGAAAAAATATAATGTATTGAGAAAGAAGACTTGCTCAGAGTCAGGAAACTTAATAACAAGTAGAAGCTAAGATATTTAGCAAAGAAATACGAAATTTGCTCGTTTTATCAGTAATTTACGCATTTGAGCGAGCCTGCAATCGAGCAGCAGATTCAGCAAAAGACGTCACTTCACTGTTGAGTGGTAATTGGCTGTGACCGTCAGCGGAAAGATGTGGGCTCACCAAATGAAAATTTTTTCTCCCCTCCGGATTTTGACAACCACATATATACGCTATTATTTGTTGTTGTATTTGCTAAAAAAACTTTAGTCCTCTCCCAAAGTTTTTGTAATTTTATAAACTTGCCGTTAACTGGTGTGGTTATTAGATGCAGAAATATTACCAAAACTTGAAACTTTTTATTGTACCGGAAGCAAAATAATATCGTTTTAATGTTCAGTTTGCACATTACTTATACGGTAAAATTTCAACGGTTTTTTGTAGGTAGCCACGTGAAGTCGTGTTATACTACCAAACACTATGTTATAATGCAAAAACGTAGAAGAACAAAAAATTGCAAAAACAGGAACAATTTTACTTAGTTTTGCATATTTTGCGCTGTGATGAAATTAATGATGTTTGTCTAACTGTTCAATTTTAATACAGTATGTTTACAAAAAAGTGTGTTTAAATTATTCCATTGTGCAATGCAGCGTTTGGTATTGTATATTATTGAAGTCTGTCTTGCGAGAAAAAAGCTTTGTTTAATTGATTTACTTTCAAATAACAGCATGAAATCTCATTAAAAGCACAAAATTTCCGACATTGCATTATGCTATTTTGTCTTGCAATTATTATTGAAGTATAGCAGCTGGTTATTTCTGATTATTATAAAATGAGAAACATTTAATTAAAAAGATATATAGACTCTCTCGTAAAGATCTTCTATAAATGGGTAAACCCTCTTTGTGCAGGGAGCTGAACTTGGTTTTCAAAATTACTTGTTCCGATTAGTCTACTTGTGTTGAGCATAAAATAGAGCCTTCGGTTTTGGCAAAACAATTTCGTGGTTTTACACTGAATTCGGTCAAACTAAAGGTTCTAAGCTCAATTTTGAGGTGGGATGAATGTATGAAGAAGCAATTTTGTTTTCACTTTGCCAAACATCTACTCATTGCTCTAACTAGAAACAAATCGTAAATTTATTAAAACTTTGACCTTTCTCACATCAAACGATAATAAAGTCAAAATAGGAAGTTTAAATAGTATGTTAAGATTTTCTTCATATTCTTACAAAATTTCCTGTGATGTGTGAATGTATAATTATTGTAATGTTGATTTCAAGGAAAAATAATGTAGAAGTCAAATTAAATCTGAGTTGAGTCTAAAATGTATATTTCTTATGCAAAAATTTGAGTTGTGAAGCACTTTGCAAATGTTTGATACAAATAGACAATGATTTGAAAGTATTATTTACTAGTTACTATGGTAGTGAATTTATCAAATTGTATTTCGATTTGTAAAATCTTAAACATGTAAACTGTTTATGTAACATTGTTGCAAGCGCTTTAGTTTTTTAAAAAGAATATTATTTCATAGTATTGCTTTCGTTTGAAGTGGTATGAAGATAAATTTCAGTCTTGTCTTTTAATCCAAAAGTTTCTGATCAACTAAGAAATAAGTAAAATTTCTCGTAATATTTCAGGCGAAATCACTTAAAGTGTTGAATGATAAACTGAAAACAACAAAAAAGTTTAAAGTCTGGAGGAAAGACATACTTTAGGAAGCCTCTGTCATTTTTAAAATTCACAAAACTTTTTTTTCTTAATTTCATTCGGCTACTGGATACCTATCAGCAGTTTCTACCTGAATATGTTCCAAGGCTCAAATTGTATTTCTTTCTTTCACTTGTAACAGAAAAGAAGTCATATTCGGCGTAAATTGTGTTGCCTGTAAAGTCTTCCATGTCAATGCGAAGTTTATTTCTCTCATGTAAGATGACAAATACTTTTATTTGGTGAGTAGAGTTTAAAGAGTTTTGTTTGTTTAATTTTTGACGCGTTGCACAAATATATTTAAGTTAAGGAATATTTTATACGCAAAGTTGCAATAATAAATTTAATATTACCAAATTGTACCTAAATGTAGCGCAGTAAAACCTTTCAATTTAGAAAAGTGGTTAATTTTTGTGACCGAATCACTATGTGGTCTTTATTCTTATTCGCTCGTTCGTTTCAATTGTAATAGCATCATGATATTAACAAAGAAAGAGCAAAGGTTGTATGCATAAAATAGTGACTATATGAATGAAGCTAATACATTTAATGTTAAAATAAAAGACCAATACCAATGCCAAAACTGGTTATCAGATGTGTGTAAAAAGCAATCAAAATTATGCCATAGTGATTGCCTTAGTTCATTTCAATAAATTTGTTGGTAGTTTTCGTATCCATTTGGTAACCTTGCACCAGTGTACACTGATTTACAGTGAGTTCATCCAAATCGGATGTTAAGGTGCCAGGAAATACTTTAATTAATTCATTCACACCAGGCTCCTGATAACAAAACTGTGCAATTTCCTTTCATAAAATAACTTTGGACAATGATTTTCATGTACCATCAATAAAATAAAAAATTGACCTTACAGCAGAGGGTGTGGAGGAGCTACACCCACTTAAAAAAGATTGGACAGTGGAAGCACTAGTTCTACAATGAAAGCATGAAGTTCATCATCTGAGTCCCTAATTTGTCCTAACAAGTTTATAGTTTCAACGAGATAAAATCTCATTTTTTGACATAGGCACTTTAAAGCATGCATGATGACATTGGTCAATAGGACTGACAACACAACTCAAATAGGCATTTATTTTAAAATTAGGATCATGAACTAGCGTAATCTTATAAGACATATAAGAAATAAATCGTTTCTCCTCCTAATCATTGACGTTTAAAATGGAAAATCGAGATACACATCGTGCAACATGCTTAAGTCGTTAATCCAATCCCAGATCTTGGTTACTAGCCTCTTTTGCGTACGAGAAACTTAATGCAGCAAACTATAATAAGTTTAACAGATGGCTTACCTTTGCAAACATCATATTCAACAACATTAATTGTGGATTGGGAAGGGGATTCAGTGTTTGAAAAACATTTTTGAATTTTTTGGTTTTAGGAGGATTAAATTTCATAGAGTTTTTTACAACCCAGTTAGAGCACTCGCAAATTTTAATGAAAGACCAGTTTCTGGTTTTTTCTTTCTAAATGATTTCCCATGATGTAGTGTCGTCGAGAAATTTAACTTTTTCTTCATAAATATCAAGATCATTTTCCATGATTTTAAATAACTTTGGGCTTAGTTTGGTTTTCTTGGAAACGCCCAACAATGAATTCACCTAAACACAAAAAGCTGGTCCTAGTTTACGTGCGTTATCTTCGGTTTGTGAGAAAATTTGCAGTCCAATTAATCAGAACTGGTTGCATTTTTATGATTTGTGGCTTTGCATCACAATATTTTGATCATGCAATTTTGTCGAAAGCTTTAGAATCGTCTAAGGTACATGTAAGCGTGCAGGTACCGAGTGTGCCCATATATTCATACCATTCATTGAACACATAAATGAATACAGTTTTAGAATTAGGGTGCCTGGTGTGTTCCAATATTCATATCATTTATGGAATATATAAATGAGTACAAATTAAGACTTAAGTCATTTAATCGCAAAAAATTTGCTTATTATCAATTAGATTGCTGATTGATTGCAACAGTCATTATTGGGAAACAGTCATTTATTGGATGTTAGGGAAACTGGTCTGAAGTCCCAACTCTGAAGTGTGTGATTTTAAAGATCTATGTGAACTTTTGATTTCGTTAAGGCTTGATTTCAGGCGTTCATTGATTTTACTGATGTATAATCTTGAAAGTGCATTTATATAGAAAATGTTCCCTTTGTTTTTGCAATAACGAACGTTAGCTTAGTTTTCTCAACTCCAAGCGGCTTGGCGTTTGAACATTTTTTTATATTTAGGGGTTATTAAAAGTTTCTCGCTACTGATATTTTTACTCGTTTAATGAAACATGATGGTCAAAAATCCTATTAATAAACTCTTAGTTGGGGTATTATACACAACTTTAATAAACTAAGCGTGTGCATCAAACTTCTCCACTTAATTCACTTGAACGAGATCAAATGTGCCCTATTCTTTCTCAGTCAATCAATGCATTTGGTGATCGGAATGAGATGTGTTGTAGCTACAACAGTAGGAGTGTCAATTAACGTCACTATCTTGACAGATCATCAATCTCGTGCAAGTTGAGACCAATAGTAATTTGTATTATATACATTCATCTTAAGTAAAAAAAATGAACGGCCTTTTAAATTCCAGTATCGTTTATCTTACTAGTTGCCAAAAAATCAATAGTGGTGACGTAGTTCTCTATAAATATCTTTTTCATACATCATCATGAATTATTATGATTTTTATAGAAAATCTCACAAGAAACCATTATAGCAAGTATTCTTTATATAATGCCAATAAAACGGTATATTTAACCTAATTACATCATAAAACTATCGTTATATGTTAACTTAACAGAAAAATTTGTTGAACCTAAGTTAAGCCTATAGAAATCTCTAAATTGTAATAGTATATCAGAAAAGAAACGGAATAAAGCTTTGATGTTTATGTGGAGCATGTTGGCTCAATAAGATAAGTAGTTTTAGTGAATTCAAAGTCATGATAACCAATACTGTATCCAATTAAATATGCATTGCAGTTTTTTGCCAGCAGCTTTATCTCATCAATCGACAAAATTTTGTCCCATATGTATACAGCATCTATAATTCCTTTGAAAGAGTCACGATTTTGAAATCCTCCACCAAGAGTGTCTTGATCCTGTCCAACCACCCATACTCCTCCTGCTAGTAGAGCTCGATGTTCTGCAATTATTTTTGAAAATTTTTCTTCACCGTCTTTGTAAATGGTCATCTGTCCATTAACGGTTTGCCACGTGATCACAATATGATGTTGTTTTCCATCAAATATATCACTAATGTCAGTTCTAAAAGATGTAGAAAATTTTATATCATATCAAGTTACAAATTTACCATAAAAAGATGGTAAATTTTCGTTCATTTCTAGTACCACTTTTTAAAGTCTATTTTATAATGTCAATAACATTTTCTGTTGAGGAGCTACTAAATGGTTTAAAAAAATCAAAAGATGACAAATGAATCTTGAAAATAGAAAAGGTCCATTTTTATTTCCTTCTCCATCTCGAAGTACTTTTTTAAAGATTCAATTACACTTTAGGTAAAATGAAATTTCTGTATACCTTAAATATGAGTGATTAATATCCACGTATAACGTTTTTCTTGAGATATAAAACAACGGAGCGTTATCATAAACTTGACCTTCTTCTTCAAATGCATAAGATATTATCGATGCTTCTCGGGTCTGGTAATAATCATCATCAGACATTGTGATCCAAAATGATATTGAAAATACATTGAATTGCTTGGAAGAGTTGAGATATATTCCATATTGATGTGTATTGTCACCATCAAACTTGCTTGCCAGTCGTGGACCTGCAAGAAACTACTAATTCAAGCAAAAGTACATTTTTAAAACACTTTTTTAAGGAAAAAAGATGACATTAGGAGAAGGGATACCCTAAAATTTTAGCAGGGTAGCAACGTACAATAATGATACTGCCAATTTTCTAATGCCTTTCAAAGTTAAAAGAATACTATACGTACGCAAATTCGAAGGTGACATGAACAAACAAGTGCATTTGTTTAGCGCTATTTTCAAACTTTAACTTCCTTATTTTATCATCAAAACGCAGAACGCACATTCTATAACTAATCGCTAAGTTTTTTTAATAATTAGGTTAGGTCTATGCCCTAACTTATGTGATAGTTTTGTATTATATATATCTCACGTTGTAAATAACTTCCTTATTTACTCTGAGTTGTTTTTGTATTAATGATATTGATAAAAATAAATTTACATTTTTTTCCGTCTGGTAGGCATAAGCACGCATTGCTGCAGTATATTTTGGAATAGCCATCATTACAAATGCAACAGCGACCCTATTTTCTTTTGTGTGATCTGGCCAATGGCTAAATCCATAATATCGAATGTCATTCGTTGGAGATAGCAAAATAATGTACATGATGGCGTAAGAGTATTTAGCCTACGTTTAACAGTCAGGTATGATAACAAATACCTATAATTGGTGAGTAGAAGTTTAGGAGTTTTGTTTGTTTAATTTTTGAGGCGTTGCATAAATATTTAAGCTAAGGAATATTTCATTCGCAAAGTTGGAGTAATCGAAGTGTAAATAAAATACCATCCGAATTACAATTTTCCTAACCTTTTGAAGTTAGTAAAGATAATTTTTTTGATCAAATATCTAGTCTTAGTCTTAAAATAATACAAGAAAGCATTTACCAAATGAGCTTCTGTAATATAAATAAATTTGCCATTAGACTGACGTCAAATTTGTAAATTTAATATTACCAAATTGTACATAAATGTAGCGCAGTAAAACCTTTCAATTTAGCAAAGTGGTTAATTTTTGTGACTAGGCAAGTATGTGGTCTTTATTCTTATTCGTTCGTTTGTTTCAATTGTAATAGCATCATGATATTAACAAAGAAAGAGCAAAGGTTGCAAAATCATGCCATAGTAATTGCCTTAGTTCATTTCAATAAATTTGTTGGTAGTGTTGGTATCCACTTAGCAACCTTGTAGCAGTGTACACTGATTTACAATGAGTTCAGCCAAATCGGATGTTAGGGTGCCATGAAATACATTAACTAATTCATCCACAGCAGACTCCTGATACAAAATTGTGCAATTTCCTTCATTAAAATAACTTTGGACAATGATTTTCATGTACCATCAATAAAATAAAAAATTGACCTTACAGCAAATGTTGTGGAGGAGCTACACAACTTGAAAAAGATTGGACAGTTTAAGCACTTAGTTCTACAATGAAAACATGAGGCTCATCATCTGACAAAGTCCCTAATTTCTCCTACAAGCCCATGTGGTAGAAAATAATTCACAAATAAACGTATGCTCAAAATTGTTTGAAGAGCAAAAGTTATCACTACATACAAAGTTTGGTTACCACTTACAAAGAAAATATGATATTTAAGTTTCTAGTAAATTGTTAAAAATATAAGAACATGCAGTACTGAATAAGGGATTTGTCTAGGCTATTTCTCTCAAAGGTGGCTCATATGACTACATTTTTATGTATAAATCATGAAACTGAGTAACTACAGTGACTTTAGTGCAAATTAGCAAAGTAATAATCTAACATTCGTAAAGTAACCTCACAAATAAATTCTTACTTCTTTAACGAGTAAATCACAGATATTTTGCAATAAAAAAATATTATATAAATTAAAGTGCCTGAGCATTATGCAGACACTGTTTACACATCCTTATATGCGTCCGTTTCTGAAATAAAGGGATATTTTCAATCGGAAGGTCTAAAAGAATAATCAACAAAATATAAAAAACGATCAATTTCTCCCTCAAACCTTCAATCATTCCCCAAAAAAACTTAACGCGTTATCCTAGCCAGTACGTTGTTCTGTTGGACATAGGATGTAGCTCCTTTGAACCTGGCGTAATGACTTTATCTAAAGAATGTGTTGCCTCCTCTGAGTGACTGACCATCATATTAATTCCATTTCATACATACATCATTAAGGGCCATAAGCATAATTGAGTGATTTTTATCATATATAGCAAGTAACTACGTCAGAAACTGTCCTTACTGTTGCACAAAGCAATAGTCAATATGTCATTATGACTATTCAGAAATGGCAATTTTAAAAATTCACAAGATCATGGTCTTCGACGTTATTCTAATTTTGCTTGTTCACTTGCACCAAAAAGCGTCTATGCAAAACAAATATTTTGTAAAAAAAATTTCATCATCAAGAAAAATTATATACCTTCAACCATTTTGCAGCATTTTAATTTGTCAATGTTATGTAGCCAGTCACCTCCTGGACTTCTGAATAATCCTGTTATATAATAACCAGCTTTTTTGCACTTTGCCCATCTTCGTTTGTTAAACTTTTTACTGATGTCTTCATAGTAACAATTACCATAAATGTCTGGATGATTGATTGGTTTGCAACATTTTCCTTTCTCGATTTTGTGTAATTTACGGCCTTCGGTACGATAAAGACCATTTAAAAAATAACCATCGGGGCAAACACCCAAAGTGTCATTCCTAAAATACAATATTGAAATCGAAAGAAAATTGCAATTTATCAAATTCCATTCGTTCAAATATTCCATAAAAGTCTGATAACGACATAGAACAAACTATATAAATTGAATTATAAGGTCTAAAAAACTTATAGTTGGAATGTATTACTGTGTCTTGGATATTCGAAACTTTACGGTTTAACGACTTGGTTAAATTACATAAAAATTATATCTGTCACACTTTTCAGTTCATAACTAGCTACAGAACCCAACTAATAAATAAACTATTTTTGCTATATGGGGAAAGCTTTGTTTTCTTCATCAAATGCTGATTAATTATAAAATATTTTATCACAATCATTGCATAACAATCTTTAGAAAAGACATTGTATAAACTTACGAAGTTTTATAAATGGCAAAATTAGATGTAGTAATTTTTTGCTTAACATTTTTAATTACTTTTTAAACCCTCCTCAAAGTGCTAACTGGTTCATTCTATCAAATATACTCACTTAGTTAAAGAGGTTTGCCAGCTAACATTTTGACATGTGCTACTTTGCCCTTTATGTATATTATTTGACGAACAACACTTAGCTTTTTCGAGTTTGTGAATGCCATCATCGTTTGTATTGTTGAGCTGGCTGCGCCGAAAACCAGTTATAAATTTGTAGTTGGACCCACAAGTTGACCATCCTTTTTTGTTAAATGATTTCTTCCAACCTGCGATTATGCAAGACTGTGGTTTACGAACTCCTAAAATGAAAAGTTCTGTTATATTCTTTATTCAAATAAACTGATATATTATTCACGTATACTTTCTTTGATTTTGTTGTAAAGAAAACAATCATCTTATCCTCATACTCTTCCTTATTAATATGCATGCACTTAAAGCTAATTTTTTAATGAAAATCTTGCTTTTTTCAAAATAAAATTACAACAATGAGAGAACCTAAATAAGTTAATTTATAAATTTGCTTACATACATGACAATCTATAAGAAAGTCAAAACGAAACCCCGACATTTCTACAATATTATTTTAGAAAATTTACTGTAAGAACTTGGAGTCTTGTTAATTTTATAACATCAAATCCTGGCAAAGCAAATATTTTGCATGGAACTTATTTTTTTTCTAAATTATTAGCTACTGTGCACATAGAAAAGGAAAAGACCACCAAAAAAAAATAGTTATAGTCTTTCTGTAGAATTTTATAGCTCAATTAATAATAGTCCGTGGGCCGATTGTATAAAAACGTAATTAACTTTAACTATAGTTAACGCTAACTACCGTAGTTAACTCCTTAACTGTAGTAACTTAGCTGCATGACTTAACTGCGTTGCACAAAACGTAGTTTGTCGGATAGTTAAATAACTGCGTAGTTGACTTGCGTGGAAATTGCGTGGAGTGTTGTTTTCGTTAAATTACATAAGGTTTAATCAATTTATGCTTTTTAATGGCGGGCAAGTGAACTATAAAATGACTTTAAAATCAAGAAAAATCTCTTGGCTTTTGCAAAAATCTTAAAATATGGCAAACTTTTGTCGTTTTTACGGATGTTGATAATGCAAAAGAAAATTTATTAAACGTGAGTCGTGGTAACCTAGTGACATGGTAACGGGATCAAATTGTAGCATAACGGTGACATAACCTAACAGTGACATGGTAACCTGATCAAATTGTAGCATATACTTTGGATTTTTCTGAAGAAAATCGACCCTTATCTTCTGTGTAGTACAGTACGATGTTGATGAATATAAGTCTCTGCAAGGGCTGCTTTCTTTCATGAACCAATTATATATAATGGACTTGGGCAAACGAAACAATGAAATCTTCTCAAATTGATTCATATTGTGTTCTATGTACAAGGATTTAAATATTTGAATGGCCTTGCTTTCACAGAATTTAAAACTGAGAGATTGAGGGTGACAAAGAAAAGGTCGTTTCGTTTCTCTTTATAACAGCTAAGTAAAATGCTTGAAAGAAATGTGTTTGTACAGACATAAGTCACACATATTTGTAATAGATGACAGTGATGGACTTTTTTATTATTAGAAAACATTTCTTTGAGTCAGCATAGTTAGTAGCCATGTAATCCAGCAACTGTCTTTTGTTCTTAATTCTGCCTTGCAAGAACCGAGTTATAAAAACAATTGGGTACATTTGTTAATGAGCCTTAGCTATGAAACTTTTTTTTATGCCTTTGTGATTTATAAGCCTATTTTGTCTAAAGCTTGGAGTTTTATTCATTTTTTTTTCTACTTTTTAAATCATCAAACAGTAGTTAGAGCTTTCTGCTTCTTAGAAAAATATTGGCAGGTAAGATTGCATGTACATTACAAATAAACATTTCTACTCAGGAAATACTTGATGAAATATAATAAAACCCACTAATTGACTGACATGTATATTTTCTGGTTGTGTAATAAACGATGTGCAATGGATAATGTATATATATCAAGCAACATGCACCTTCACCATGCATGCTGATGAAATGTTTTATGTATTTAAAAACCAACATAATTGTATCTCATGCAGCTGATACACAAAAGAGTAGCCAAGAATAAAAACTGTTGTAAAGCTCGTGTATCTATATGTATTATCATTGTCATATTTAGCACAACATTCATACTGTAGTACCTTTTTGTTTTAACATAATCTAGCTTATTTTCGATAGAGCAACGAATTTATAAGATGCATAGGATATTAAAATTAAGCAAACTGCATAGGGAAAAACCCGCAATTTGAATATTTGATAAATCCAAGGCTATTGGATTCATTGCTCGATAAACAATCTTTCTTTTCATTGAACGAATTGTACGTGTTTGTAAGACAATGTCAGGAAGTTATTCTGCATTAATCTTAAAGAAGTCACTCTATCTCAATTGAGACTCTCGCTTATGAGTTGAAAGAGCTACCGGACTCTAAAAAAGACAACACAAAATGCAATTATGCAATTGCTCTTGTGTAAAAAGGGATTTGTTACGCGGATAAGTGGTTGGCTGTTTTTCGTCTGCAAAACTTGGAATGTTTACAGCACTGACGAATGTAGTACACCGTCCATAAAGATCTTATTCTAAAAGCCTTTGCCATGAAAGATACATATGTGATTAACAACTCAAGGAAAAACCTTGTTGATTAACAACATCTCGCCCATAATTGTCTTTGAGAAGCTAAGCCGCCATATTTAATTGTGTTTTGAAAAATTGACTATTCTCCATAGCATAGTTAACTTTAACTACCTTTTAACAGCAGTTAGCGCTAACTACTTTTTTTATACAACCAACTTAACCGCGTGGTTAAATTTAACTACTTTTTAACTGCAAAAAGTGTTGTTAAAAAGTAGTTAAGAGCTTTATACAACCGGCCCCAGCTTGTAGTTTCCTTAAAATACAAAATTATTCACTTTGATGATAAAGCATGAAACTTTGACAAGTGTGTTACATTATTAATACAAACACTAATGAAGATGTAGCCAGGCAAAATTTACTTATGTTAAAGAATTTTGCTATTGCTATGAAATACTAAGCATGGAAACGAGGCTGCTTCTATGAACGCAGTTAGATGTAAATGTGCTATTGTGACCCCATAATTTTCAACAAATTCACAACACATCTCACAGGCCTGCTCTAGAAATTCAAAATGTTCAACAGTAAGGAATTATTCGAACGATATTTTCATCGTTGTTATGAAAATAAGGTTATTATTGATTTGCTAAAATGTCAACATGGCATATATATATGCTTCAAGACTACGGATTGAGCCGACGATGTATGGCAATTGATGAAAATAGACTTCGTGAGTTATATCGAAATGAAATATGTGGATGCTCTTTCTTCCTCTATTGACCTTTTAAATGCGCTAAAACTCAAAGTTTTTGCATTGGATACTTCTGTTGTTTTGTCTTTCGTGAGGTTCTAACATTTCCAACAAAAATTTGAAAATTCTGGGGTCTCAATATCATATTTGCAGCAAAACATTTTGAAAAAACTTCCCGAAGCACGCTGTCTACTATTGCTTATGTCTAATTTCCGGTTGTATTAACTTCCGTTGTGATAACATTTCCGTTTTGCCAAATTTTTTTTTGTGTGTGTTGTGAGTTTTTGTGCTTGCAATGCGACTTCACTGCTTGCGTTGCGAGAAACATTGTTTGTGCTGTGAACAATTAGTTGCGTTGTGTATTTCTTGTGCTTGTGTAGTGAAATATTTCTTTCATTGTATAAATCTTTTTTAAGGTTTGAATAATTTGTTTTGCGTTCCGACATATTTTAGTTTGGTCGAGCCTTCTGGGCCACCTTTAATATCCTTATTCTGACATGGACGGTCCCACACCATCAGTAGAGTGATGGTGCAATTTTGACTGCGGCGGCCAAAGCAAATTTCGCGCCCCTTCACCTATGCAGTAACAAAATTTGCAGTACATGCCACAGTATTATTGAGTCGTGATACTTTATGTAAGCCTTTGCATTTTGATTACACTCTACCGATGGACTGCGATACCACTAGAAAATTAAGGTACGCGAAAAGCGTAAATGACTCTTATTTAATTAACTACATGAAAAATCACTAAAGAAGTCCGATGGTCATTTTTTTGTAATGATAACCAAAATATTATAAATCATTTATCAAAAATAATAATAATTTTGTTTCCAAATACCACAAAGTAAAAGTCCGTCTTATTAGTTTATTAGCTTGCGCTCTATGGACGACTGACTTAAACAACGAAAACAAGTCAGACGTCTGTTTGAGAGAAAGGCTTCAGTCAATGATTTAATAGACCTGCTAAGTAGGCTTGCCACTATAATAAGATAGTGATGTCTTCAAGAAATCTCAGAAATTTTTACAAAAAGTAAATTTCTTTCCCGCTTTAATAGAAAATTTTCACAACAGAAATTCATACAATAATATTTCTATTTTAATAGTACGGGAGGTCTTGAATTGTAGATGATTGATGTTCAGTATTAATACTACTCTTTAGTATACCTGTATGTTATTTTGAGATGATTATTTCAACTATTGCCAGTAAAATTTTACGAATTTCCTTATTTTATACTTTCGAATATTTTCCGTAAGACATTATCGTCCTGTAATCGTGTCAATTCGTGAATTGCCGTCCTAGCACCGGGACATCAGGATTAATAATATATGCAATGCCGGTAACAATGCCTGTCTGTTGGAGAAAGCCAAGAAAATTTGATTGAAATAGGCAAAAAACTATACACTTTTAGGCCTTGTTGCGCCCCTTAAGAGGACATCAAATTTGGCCCTGTATGTTGTCTACAGTCATTGTGACAATTGACATGTCAGTAGTTGTGACTACATAAGAAACATCAATAATGCTCCTCAATCACTTTATTCTTTAATAGACTGCCACCACGCCCCTGCACACCATCACCAACTGCAAGGAGTACTTACTAATCTAGATTTGCATTGCATTTGTATTAGGTTGCGTTGCAGTTGAATCTTTTGAACCGTAATCTTGTACACAATTGCCAACTGTTGTGATAGAAACAATGCGCTTTTTTCCCCGTGCGCCTTGTGTTTGGTAATATGATAGATTGCTGTTGTAAAACAGGCTCCATATCTTGTATAACTAAATCTTCTAAGATGTCAGAATGGTTCACTGTTGTGCAGACACACAATACTTTCTGTTTCTTTGTTGGCAACCTTATCATTAAGAAACTAAAGGTTTTGAAAATATCTGCAAGAAGGCAATGAGCGTGCTCCTGCCCTAGAACGTGTACTTCTATTCCTTTGTCAGAAAATCTTTTGAAATTTTCTCTTAGATTTTTCTTTTGGGCTTTGAGGAAATCAAGTAAAAGCAAACAAACTGATTTAATGTATGTGAAAATCAACTGAAAATCCAACTCAGTATTTCTCTGTGTGTGCTTCATTAATGCTAAAAAACTGTAAATGGCTTATTAAATTTTGGAAATTTTTATATTTAGATTAACCCCAAAAAACTGTTTTATAAATTGTGCATTTAACATGTCACAAAAATGGAAAAAATTACAATAAATCATGAAGGTCACGTTCCAATATAATATATATTACATAGACAAAACGATTTCAAGTGTTGACTTTGTGATAGTGTGTAGGATGTGTTTTACATAATATTTTCTTGAGCACACTTATGTCGTGACTCATTCAACTCGTATAAATCCCTCATTCTTTGGGAAAATATGAAAATATTACTCACTGTCTTTTTACAACAGACAAGCAATACTAGCCAGGCATTCTTTCTTTTGTTTGTTCTTTGTAAGATAGGAAGGCTTTATTCCATAAAAATCGTTGTTCTTTCCCTAAATCTATAAGCATTTCCATATTGTAGACTTTGTTTACCTAATAAGTGAACAGGCTTTGTGCAATTGGTGTAAATTTTAAATCAAGGCTTGCTTGAAACTCTTCTTCGTCGTCCACTTGAAATTTTGATCACTCCTGCTGACGTCCGCCATATTTGTTTAGTGAAACTATGTAAATTTGACTTTGGCTAACGGAAAAGTAGTTTATCTAATTTTTTAACGATTGGGCGCTCTTCAAGTCTTTGTAATGCTCATGCGTATTTCTAACATCTTGCTGTAACAGTCGACCGCACAATATCTTCCATTAAGTGGAAATCAGCCTTAAATAATACTAATATCGCACATTTTGCAAAGAAAAAATGGTCGTTTCTTTGCTATAAAGACCAATTAGCTTCTACTTTGCAGCAACAATGCTCTGATCAGAGCAACACAGCATGCTCTCTGTATAAATTATAGACACTTTTTGCATATCGCATTTACTTTATTTTCTGATTTTATATGTTATTTCGTTTGAATATAACGCAAATTTATTGTGTAGTATATTTAATGTTATTTAAATTTAAAATGTTTTCATGCCTTTTAAATTTTAAAATGAATTTCTTTCGTTCTCGAGGGAAATATTCCAATAATGCTTTTGATATTGAACTTAGAAATTTGATAAAAATATGAGACTAATAAGGCTCTTGTTTAGTTGCAATGAAAGCACAGAAATCATCTTGCTCATTATTATTTTGTATTTGAGGCTTCACATTTAGAAATTATTGAAACAATCATTACTTACCAATTGTTAACAATCTTGAAACATTTCCGCTCGAAAAAATGTCAAGATCTCTCCACTGAATTATTTGTTTATGTCGCTCTGTAGTACATTCATTTTTAAGCTCCTTGATGGTACATGATGTGTTGCGTGTCACGTCATAGTTCCATAAATTTAAGTTATTTATTTTACCAACAAACGACATATTTGGATCAAAAACAGCCTTCTCGCACTCGAGTTTTTGACCAATAGCGACAACACCTCCACCGCGTAGTAAAAATAATGAATTGTTGACCATAGTTTCGTTTAAAATCATAGCCCCATCAAGAAAAATCCTCTCCGTAGTCAGAGTGAGGATGATGACCAGGTGATGCCAATAACCATCGTAGATTGGATAAATGTGAAGGTTTCTATCAAATAAGAAAGATTAAAATGCGGAATACCACATGAATATTAGCATTGGCTGGTATAAAGAAAAAAATATTATTAACGAATGATTGTAAAATGATTTATAGAAAAATGTTAACAACAAAGTTGAAAAAGCTAATGGGAATTCAAAATTTCATACATTTTTGATGTATGCAGGTCTTGCAACGTCATTCATTTTTAATGTCATTAAGTGCTGAAAAAATAGCAGATAGCACATTTCAACGTTACTTGTTTTACATGTTAATAGCATGCGTCATTGTTTCGTACATTTTGGTTCAAACGAAAACCAAAAGACTATACGTGATTTTAGTGGTTATTATCATTTAAGAAATAAGCTCATATTACAATATGCATATTATATTTTTAATATGGGGTGCACATAAAATGTGCAATGTTGCTATACGGAATAAATACACTAAAAATATGATGATCTTGAAATAAACAAAACCGTTTTAAGAAACTTCATTTCAAATTAAAAATGCAATAACACGAGTTTAGTTAAATATTAGCATCCATAAAAAACATCGCACTAAGATGTTAGTAAATTTTCTATCAGCATGCAACATTTTTAACTTCAAATTTTGTAAAGAAAAGTTATTTTTTATTATTTTATCTGTTTTTTTTTTTGTTAGCCTTGTTAATAATAACTTAATAAATCGCCCATGCACATATTACGTTATTCTAATTTAGATATCAAACATATTCCTATTCTACTTCTCCAGCATTTTCTTTCAAAGCAACAATCTGTTTAAAATCTGAGAGCGTTGTTCAATTTTTTAATGCATAATTAAGCTTTCACTAAAATATTATCTTAATTTAAAACTTTTCCTTTTCTCATCTTCTTAAATACTGCTACAGCAATTTCTTGTGAAAATTATCCATTTCTTGGTATTCTACGTTTCTTTCACACGTTTCCCTTTTCTTTCATTTTAACATTAAAGTATCTTTTGTAAAGATAATCAAGTGACTGTAAACCTTCTACATATTTTTTTAAAACCCACTTGCTTTTTTTTGCTTCAATTTTTACTTAATTTGATTGTTAAAATTATACGAAGCCTGTTTGAGTGAAATTTTACGGTTTTTTGTCTTTTTTTATCTATGTTCCACACTCTAACATCAATCATAAGTTTTATCCACATGGTTTTAAAAATATAACAACATATTCTTCATCTCTTCAATTCAACTATTAAGTGGCTTTCTCGGTGTTTTACTGTAATTTTCTGCATTTAAAACCATTGCTTGAAATGGCTAATTGGGTAATTGCATGAATTTTTAAGTTTCACCTTAAAGTCCATAACCCTTTATTAATTTATTTTCAAATGAAACAATAAGACAAATTGTGTATCTTTACCTCCACTTCCAAATCTAAACTGATTCTCTCAACCATTTGCAAAAATATATAAATAATTGTTCGGTCCATCTATTCATTGCGATGAATATTTCCTTTTTACGCTTTTTACCTCCCCTAGGATCATCCATTCTTAAACATTTATAAGAATCAAGACTAATAAATTTTCTCCTAACAGAAGGATGTATTCTGCTGCAACCTAACTATTATTGCATAAAAGACGCAAATTTACCGTCTTTTTGCTCTACAAACTCTTTTCTTAACTCTTGACTTTGGAAATCGAAAACGAAAACAAATAAAAGTTAATCCTTTATTTTTATTGCATATAATGCTTACATCATATTGTATTAACATTATTCACTTACTTCGAAAACGACCACAAGAGTCTCGGAAGAAACATTGACTAAGACTCAAACAATAACAAAACTCAGTATTTTCTGTTGGAGCGCGCAATAAGTATTTTGTTGAATAAAAACAAAGACCATTTAATTTAATTTACTTTTAATAATCTCAATGACTTTTGGCGAGATTTGTCTACCAAAATTTTGTTCCAAAATTCTATAAGGGTGACAAACACATTTCTTGTCTATTTTTTAGTGTTTTCTTAATCATTGTTTTTTATTAATAGTCTAGTTTTATTGCTTACTACAAGTGCAATAAATCTTTTAGTTTTTAGTTTTTTTTTATGATATTGAAAATTGCGGGCGATAATTTTTAACGTGTTTCTTATATAGGAAGCAATACATTCATTTCAAATCATGTAATTAAGAATTAGCCAATCAAATTTGACAAACATGGCAAATTTTACAAAGCAATGTATAATGATGTATAAGTCAAAAATGTATAAACGCTGAATTCGGATACAAGTCTGTTGTGCATCTAAAATATACTTTACTGAAAGATTACAAATATTTTCTACATTAATTCAAATTTGGATGTTTAGCAGATTGATGAATTTTTAACCGTGGTTTAAGCCAATAAAATTAATTTTTCTTACTCTTTTGTAAACGATTTTATCGTAATGATGATCCGTTCTGTGTCAAATCCCACAAAGAATTCGTCAGGACTGTTCTGAACAGCATAAGAAAACAGCGCCATTCTTCGCATTGTAACTGTGTTTACCCAAAATGCCAATGTCATCTCTGATATATTAGGCATCACATTATCGAGAAGAATCAAGTTCTCAACATGAGCATTGGGAAATACCAAATCGTAACTTTTGTTGACGGCTTAGATGAATTGAATGAAACATAAGTCAAGTTTATCAATATAAATATAATATAGTTCCCTATTACTTACGCTGTTGCAGTTTGCAGCTTTTGTTGTACATCTAAAAGTAAAGCAAAATAATTGAAAAAGTTAGGTAGATAAGGAAAATATAGGTGAATTTTGGTGAAAGAGTGGTCTTTTTTGTTTTAGTTTTTTATTTTTCATGTAATACATAAAATATTTGTAGAACTTTCTTTTTGGGTTAAGCTACTTGCTTTTAATTACATATATAAAACACAAAAATTTTAAAATCAATTCTTACTTTGATCGGTGTGTTGAAGATAACATAATCATAAAATCGATTTTGTCTTAAGTTTTGTCGGTTGCTGTCATTTAGAACACTGTGTAACATTTCACATAGACTCCAACATCCTTGGCTTAACTTTCTTCTGTGGTTTATAGATCGACAACATGGCTCTTTAACGCATTTTACGATGCATTCCATTTCGTTTTGTACTTCGATTTTTTTAAATACATTCCCTTGAAATCTCCAACCTAAGAAAAAATACCCTGCCATTGTTAGTTTAGTAAAGTTTCAAAGAACTGTAATATTTCACGCTAGGCCAAGCACAAACTCCTCATTAAGACATCAAAATTTTTCTTACCGTTGTATGAAGCATTATAGCAAAAATGAAAACAATTGCTACTACCAAGAACATTAAGCAAGCATAATAATATATCTGTCAACTTTAAGCATTTGTTCGAGTACAACATTTTGCAATACTTCTTGTCAAATTGAAAACAAAATGCGTGCTATAGTTAAAACTGTTTACTTATTAGATTATTGAAGCAACCAATAATAATCTTTGTTATGTAGCAATAAATATTGGTGTATTTTCCTCTAAGAGCTACAATTTACACAGCTGTGGAAATATTTATATTTCATCAAATAGTAATGTTCAAATTTCATTTGAGACCTTTGCTTACTAACAAAAACTGGTGCTTTCTTAACTTATTTTTATCTATACTATTCTCTAAGTAGTAATAATATGATGAGTCAAGTATTGCACCAAATTTTTGTCTACGCTTTTAAACAATCTATGCATGGATCTTTTAACTTCATGAACATATTGATCTTCTATAGAGTAAATCAATAATTTAAAGTACTAAGCATTCTTAAAGAATCTATTAAAGATTTAAGTTTAAAAACACTTGCAAATAAGTGTGGTAGCGTCCGTTATTCAAATTTGAAACTTTCCCCTCACATTTGTAACTATGACACATTACAGAAATAATCAGTACATTTGCTAATAAGAATAGCAAGGAAAATATAAATAAATGCTTTTAAATTTAAGCATTTATTTAAGTACAACATTTTGATGTGTTCCTTTTCAAATTGAAAAAAATATCACAAGCCAAAGTTATTAAAACTATTTGGACATGTTGTAATGCAGAAAACACCTGGTGTTAATTGCTTAAGACACAACTGAGATAAAAACATGCCCTCTAAAGGCTTAAGTTTCCACGCATTCATTTTGAATTTAAAGATTACATACAAGAGGAGTGCATTCAAAAGAGCCATGCCTAAAACCAAAGGATATGATGAAAGAAGAAACAGCACAGTATTTAATCGGAACTTTCATCACTTATCTTCAAAAACAAAACGAAAAATATTAAAAATGTTTAAATGTTATTATTATATGGCTGGCTTAACTTCCGGCAAAATGGCGCACTTTGATTGGCTCAGAAAAATTTTTGCTGGTCCATTATTTTCCCGTAATCGACCACAGTCAAAATGCGTAATTTTACAATAAATGTACACAAACTTTCTAAAAGCAAAACGCAAAATAAACGAAACAAAATAGCATTTACAAATGTGATTTGAAGGAAAAACGTTTGGAAAAAAGTTTAACTATCCAGACGATAAAATTTGAAACGATTTAATTTTTCATGGACGAAAACTATAAAAGTTAAATCCAACCCGTAAAAAACAGCAAGGATTAAAAAGAAAGCAAGCTTTGTTTCAGGTCAAATAATGTCTTATAATAATCCTTCTAAAAACCTCGCTTTCTCGGTCTTTATTGAGAAATATTGGACCGAGGTGTTTTTGTACAGACCTCGCCCTTTACGCACATTGCAGAAGAGTAAATGTCGCTGATGTATTTATATAGAAAGATTTCGGTGTGCTTAGCAATTTGAATTTTTTAAAAAATTCTTAGGACAAGTTTCCAAATAATGCTCCGTTTATTATTTATCCTTAATTATATCAATACTTATAATGCCTATTCGAATGCACCTGTTATTCACAAAACTCTACAGTTAGCTAGTTTTAAGGGATGAAAATTACCACAATTTGTAGGGATTATGAGCCATGTCCGTGTGGGAAATGGGTTTTGGATTACTATTATCCCTATTTCAAGGTTGATTCGAAATCAAGCTATATTGGGTTATTGTATATAACATAATCATAATAATAAAAAAAAATATAATTATAATAATCTTAACTAACTTCTCATCTTAGAAGCACTTTTGATGAAACACAATATGCCACAACTTAATAGTGGTCTCGTAGCCTATAAAAAATTATCTCTATTTTAAATGTAATTATACTACATAATTGTTGAGTCTTGTAGTTCTCTCAATTACGTATAACTGTCAGTTCCGCTTGTAAATAATTAAAGAAAAGTTTTGCAGCCTCCTTGTAAACTATTAGTCTGACAATGTCTTTTGAATAAAGACGAAATAGTACACCATGTGTTGTCTATGACTCTTGTATCATCTTCAATATAAGAAAACGAGATGTCTGCTTTCGGAAACTATTTTATTTTCCTTTATTTAAAATTTTCTCCCTGCCCTGGTTATAGGTTAACTCAAAATAAAGCTATATTAATTTATTATATATAAAAAAGCCTATTAAGAAAGCTCTTTTGCAAGTTGTCCATTCTTTTTGGTTGATGTCTTTATTACAACAATTACCATACTTGTTGGGATGATTGAATGATTTCTATCATATTTCGTCCGAAATTTTGTGTAATGTACGTCCTTTTGTACGATAGAGAATTTTAAAAAAATATCCACTTGTGAAAACACTCAAAGTGTCTTGTCTAAATTATAATATTGAAATAAAAGGTTAGGCAATTTATCAGCTTTTTCTTTTTAATATTATATAAGAGTTTGATATAGACATAAAACGACTAACTGAGTTTGAAATATAACTTCTAAACTAATTCTAATTCAAATTATATCACTGTTTCTTGGTATATTTGAAAACATTCTGTTTAACAACTTAAATTACATGAACATTATATTTTTCACGTTTTTCAGATAAAGGTACAAATCTAAATTATTGACACGACAATTCCTTTTCCCTTTTTAAGCTTTTCTCAAATTGTTTATTTGTTCATTTGTCTCAAAGGGTACTCAATTGTCTAAGGTTTTCCACCAGCTGGTATTTTCATATGTGATTCGTTCTCTTTTATATACTTTATATGACGAGCAGCAATTTAGCTATCTCAAGTTTATAAATTCCATCACACTTTGAAGTAGTCAATTGGTTGTGCCAGGAACCATTTATAAATTTGTAATTAGATTCACAAGTTGATCATCCTTGTTTGTTAACTGAACGCCATCAAGATTCCTCTTGCAATCCAGTGGTCTGCAGATTGCTAAAACGGAAAATTCCCTTAACTTTTGTTGTGTGCTTTAAAAGGAAAGAAAAAACTATGTAAAACTTAGGTTAGTTTCATAAACAGCTAGCATCTTAAATCTTCAGTAAACATACAATCTTATAAATGAAATGCTGCATGTTATTGTACTTCTAAAATGGAAGAAAATTTTTGAGTTAACGAACAAACATTTTTTGATTTTAATAGATTGAACTAAATTTTTTTAGACTTAAGACTACAAGACGTGTTCTTTAATGTGTAATGTGTCAAAATGAGCACTGATGTTAAAACATTCGTCACAAATCTTTTACAATAAGGCGTATGAAATGAATATGTACTTCATTTCCTGCTAATGTCGAATAGCAGCGTTGCAGGCTTACAGATTTACTCTCGGCTTATGTAAATTCTAAACAATTGCTTTATTCCATTCCTTTTCAACCTATTGCTTTCAGTCTCAGAAAAATCGGATTGGTATTAACCGTTGTTTTTTAACAGTTGTTTTTAACAGGTTTATCAGTAATCATTTAATATACAAAATTTGTTTGATTTCGTTTGTAGAGTTTGTAGAGGTTGTATTACGAAAAGAGATAATACCCAAGTCCTGCGATTGAGTATGGGGACCAATGTAAACGACGACACCATAGAAACGTCGATACCTATTGTGCACATGGTTTTAAAAATTGTTTACAATGAAAAACATGAAATTATAAATAGTCGAAGCCACTGGGTACTATGTAGTCTTCAGGGCTTGCCGATTTCTGCCCGAATCAGGATATCGTACTCCGGCAATCAGTCTAAACGCGGTATAATTAATCAATCTAACGTCAACAAAAAATGAAAGTGGAATATAAGTGAGACATAAAATACTGTTAAAAATCCATACTTATCAAATGTAAGTATTTGTTAAAGCGGATTTTTACAATTTTACACTTTACAAAGCAAGAAATATTGAAAAAAAGGGGGGGGGCAATTTCCTCCTTTCCCCCTTTCGCCTCCCTTCTCTTCAGCCCCTGTGCAATGTTCTCAAGAAATCTTTAAAAGTTCCAGGCACTTTAAGTCTTTATTCTTTTGAATGAAACCATTTTTAAATAGAATGGCTTTCAAAGAAATTATAGTTTGGTACTTTAAGCTTAAAAAGCTACTACAATCATGTATATCTTTAAAAGCGTGAAATGTGCACTTGGTTTGCATGGTAAACTACTACACAATAAGTATAACCACAAGATTAATAAGTTGGAATGTTATTAAACAAAAGAATGATAACAAAATGCTATAACCAACAACTACAAACAATAACGACCTTGTCTAACAACATTTGAGAAATTAACCTTCCAGTCCTCTTCCTTCTAAACGAGACAAGTCTATTCAAAAGCTCTCTTCTTTATTAAGGCTCTCTGCTTTTGAATAGACTTGTCTCGTTTACAAGGAAGAAGAGTGGAGGGGTTAATTTCCCAAATATTGTTAGATAAAGTCAGTGCTGTAGAACTAAATTTATCAGAGGGGGTTCTCTAGATGTTTTTGTTAATAGTGCCCTTTTAAAATTAACAATTTCAAAAGTGGAAGGGGGCTCCTCCACCAAGTGCCCCCATTTCTGCAACACTGGATATTGTGGTTATTGAATGCAGAAATATTACTAAAAATTGAAACTTTTTATTGTACCGGAAGCAAAATAGTATCGTTTTAATGTTCAGTTTGCACATTCCTTATACGCTAAAATTTCAACTGTTTTTGTAGGTAGCCACGTGAAGTCGTGTTATACTACCAACCACTATGTTATACTACAAAAAAGTAGAAGAACTGCCGACCGATTTCCACGTCATTGACCTCTAATTCTGAACTGGATGTAGTATAAACAATGTAATTCTCTAAATTCGTTTCGTTTACGCTTATGTTGAATGGCATAATCCTGTCTTTTGTTTATGTTGACAATAATGAAAACTTAATACATCAAGATTTAAAGGAATTGCTTGAAATAACAGCTATCGAAAACATAAATGTTATTTTGTTTGATCGTATAATAAGTACAACTTGAAGCAACGTACTTGTATTTGGTCATAAGAAAATTATACATTTTTCAAAAAGTTAAAACTTTATCTAAAGTATTATGTCTCTTACAAAAAAAAAAATG